TTCGATCATTAGAGAATATCCATATTGCCAATTCATTTCTGAATTATCAAATAATCTGTTTGATACACCAAAAGGTTGTAATAATTTATTAAATTTATTTTGCCATAGATTTTTGCTTTTCTCTGAGTTATTATTTTGATTTAGCATTATTTGATGTAAGAATCTTATGTTATCTTCGTTAGAATTTTTTAATCTATAACAGAATTTAATCACTCTCTTTAAATAAAACGGATAAAAGTGGAATCTATTCGTCTCAGCTCGAATTGCATAACCAGGAACAGTTCTTTCCATTTTATATAATTTTCGTAAGTAAATAACATGAAATTTTTCTAAATTGTATAGTAAGTCTATTGCCCAAATAGGCTTGATTATATATTGAAGGGATAATCAGACGGTTAAATAGTTTCATCTGTAGTTTTATATTCGTAAGTTTTAAATTTGCGCATAAATAAATAATGTTATCTATTAAAGTATTTATTTTTGTAGTTATATTCTTCAAGTGCAGTTGAAAATTACAATTCCAATTGAATGATATTCCTAAATATTTTATTTCATTTACTAAGGTGAGAGATTGATTATTTAAATAGAATGATTTTTCTTGTTTTGGAAGTTTAACATTATTTCTAAATATAATTATTTTGGATTTAGAGATATTGATCATTAAAAACAGGGAATTCAAATACTTGTTTATTATATTTAATTTGTGTTGCAAGGCAATTTTTGTTGGTGCAAGTAATACAAGATCATCTGCATATAATACATAGTGGTAAATTCTTCCAGAAATTCGATCTCCTTCAGTATCAAGTAGAAATAATTTATCAATATAATTTAAATAAAAATTAAACAAATATGGCGATAGCGATTCTCCTTGTAGTAATCCTCAGTTTATGTTTAATTCTGGGAATATCTGGTTACCACGACTAATTGATTCTGTAAATTGAAAATAATTTCGCAATTGAATCTGAAAATTTTTTTCCAGAGCCACAGGTTTTCAATTTATTTATCAAAGTTGGGACATGAACTGAATCAAAGGCTTTTGATATATCGATAAAATCTGAATATATTTTCCTGTGTTTTTTTTAGTAAGTAAACTTGTATTATTGATAATAAGAAAAATAATGCCATTTCTGTTCCTTTTGATTTTATAAATGTGAATTAAAATTTTGATTTTAAGTTCCTCAGTCCATCGTTGGAATCGTAGTGCCAGTATAGAAGTAAAGCATTTTCGTAATGTTGGTAGTAATGCTATTGGTCGATAATTTCCTGGATCTTTTCTGTCTCCTTTTTTATAGATCATTATCAGTTTTACTATATTCCAATTTTCCAGAAAGTTTGCTAAATTGTAGAATGAATTGAATAATTCAAGCAATACTCGTTTTCCTGATGGTGGTAATAATTTTAAGAATTTAACTGTAATTAGATCCATACCTGGTGCAGGTTTTGTTTTCATTTTATTGACTGATGCATCCAATGTCATAGGTAATTATCGAATCTAAAATTTCATTTTCCACATTCAGCATCTCTATATTAGTTATAGTTTTCTTTTATAATAGAGTGACAGGGTTAAAAATTCAATTTGCGATTGATTCTCAGTATCCTGTTTACATAATTTACGTACTGTTGACCAAAACAGAGTATTATCTTTATTTAATATTAACTGATGTTCAAGATTTTTAAAATATTTTATTTTCTTAGATTTTAACAAATTATTGTATATTAACTTAAGTTTCTTATAGTTTATAAGATTTGTTTCATTTGACATGTTCCTAAACTGCTTTAAGACTTTACTTTTCTTTACTTTACTTTAGCAATATAACAGGTAAATTCATACCAAAGCTTCTTAAACTTATTGGTTTTTATATTATTAATCTTTTTTTATATTAATAAATTTTTTATTTGATTTTCCAATTGATAATATATATCTATTCCATTTCTCGGTATAAATTTAGGCAAATTTTTAATTTTTTTCACTAATTTTCAATTGAAAATTCAGATAATCATAATTTATTAATTGATAAGGTTGAAATTTTTTATTTACTTGGATATTTGCCATTTCAAAAACAGTCTTGACTGGAAAATGATCAGATAGGTCGCAATTTAAACACAAGTGAATTCAGATGGATAGTCATTTTTTTATTCTTCCATTATTAATTGCAACTGTTGAGTATTTTTTATTAATTGAAAACCCAATCTATTATGTTTTTTATCTTTTAATTCACAGTTAAAGTGAATTAGATTATTTGGACCTTTATATTCGAATCTATTTTATGTGCAATTCTGGAGTTAAAATCACCAAATAACAATACATATGGAGAGAGATTTTTCCATTTTTCGAGATTTTTGAATATTTCATTTAATACATCTATCTGATCAAGTGGAACGTAAACTAACATTATTATAATTGACTTTTTGTATAAATGTTTCATTTCGGTATTATCAATTTGCAATAAGATTAAAATATAATTAGTTGCTTTTTGTATAAATTTTACGGAACCAATGTTTTTTTCTTAATATTAGACAAAGTCCTCCATGCGGTCTCCCAGGTCCTATTGGTTTCTGTGCATCAGTATAATTGTATATTCCATTCTATTTTCAATAATTTCATTAACTGGTGTGACTAACCAGGTTTTAGTTATACCCAAGATATCAATATTGTATAGTAATTGAGAGAACTCGAGTTTTTATTTTGTGGATTAAGCCTTGGGAGTTCCAGTTGGTGATATTTAAATTAAGATTGTTTGAAATGCAATGAGAAGCTAACCTCAGATGTCCCCAGATCTTCCAATTTGATTTTATCATCTTGTAGTATATCTTAATTGTAAATTTCCCTTGTCTAGAATTCATACTATAACAAGCCTTGGTTAATATAAATAATATAATCAACTTTATTCACAATTTAACAGTTGCCAAAATATAAGACAATGTAATGTAGAATTGTCTGAGACTGGTATGCGTACCTCCTATTTGTACAACTAAAGGTCTTGAGAGTTAGGATTTTGAAATTATAGAAATTGCAAGTGTGTAATTTATAATCAACTAAATTTACCACCACTTATATATTTTAAATATACCAGTTTCGTGGATATATTACAGAGTTTGTACACAACATATTTTACGTTATATTTACCAGACATTATAAAATTGAGTTGTTATAATCATCTTTCATCAGGGTTATCATAAAAAACTTCCCAGCATATGATAATGAATCAGCATCTCATATGTTAACCTATAGGATGTTAATTTAATATAAAATTAAACAGACTATGTTAGTTGTAGAATTTAATTAGGTAAATTTAAATTTTGTAAATTGCAAAAATATTTGAAGTTCGAATTCAAATCGAATGTAGAATACAATAGAACAAACATTCTAAATGTAACACACACAACTGACCTGAAGCAGGACAGTCAAGCTGTTTCGAAAATGTTTGTCATTTTTATGATATTTCTGGAAATAGAACTAAGGTTACTGAGGTCACTCATATCTACACTTTTCCAGTTTGGATTTGTTTTTCTTTAAGTGAAACTCATAATAATTGAAAAATAAAATACAAAATACATTAAAACAAAAAGCAAGATAAGAAATTACTTTTTTTTATATCTGTAAAAATCTACCAGACAAAAACATTACCTTTGAAATGAGGACATATATTAACCGTACTAAAAGTGGCCAAAAATATAAATCTTGACGCAAAAAACAATGATCAATATATGTCATGTATATATGTTACATGTGTTGTATTGCAAACAACATTATATTTTCTCAGTTATGTCCTAATTCGTAAGTTTTAAAATGTGACAAACTTAATTATATTGCAATGATGCATGCACTCTATTTTGGAAAAATTAATTTCAAAAGTTTTAAAAGTTCTATTATATAAAATTATTGTCAAATAATTCCAGGCTATTAAGAAATAAGGCATGTACGTTACACAGTAACAGCATTAAACTTTTAATACAAAAAATATAATAGAAAAATATTATATAGATAATACACAAAACAGTTTTACTGTGTAAAGAAAACATTTTAATAATCAGTTACTTGTAAGAAACCAAAGAGTAAAGCATTTTCCAATTTTCGAATATTAACTTCATTAATTTCTTTAAATATTATTATTTCTAATACTGTTTTGTGCTTTATTCAGTTGTTTAAGCTTTAATAAATTATATAAATTAGTATAATAAAAGTCCAAAAATTATAAACTGATTAATAAAAACCTTTTGAATTACCACCTTGATACTGAGGAGGCGGTCCCTGAGGAGGGGGTGGGCCCATTGGAAGCCCTGGCATTCTTTGTTGTGATTGAAAAGGAGGCTGACTATTTCTATTTCTTCCCATGCCTTGGGAAGACATTCCTCGCTGTCCCATACCACCACTTCTTCCAGATCCTCCTACATTTCATAAATAATTATTCAAATTTTCATGTTGAATAAATATTTTAAAAAAGAAAAACTTTTCATTCTATAATCAATTTAACTTTTATAATATATCACAAATTACCCTGAATTAAACACACAGTATACAAGTATAACATCAAGTAGGATTACTTATTAGTCCAGTTATAAAAATAATCATTTTTTTATCTATGACACTTCAGTTAACATAAATAATAATTTACAAACATTAAATTCATTAACTTAGCTTAAAATTTTAATTATAATCCTTTTTGAATTCAGGAGAGGTTTTTACATCTTTTGCATACCAAAAATATATTGTAGAACATTTGATTAATTCTTTAAAACAATTATTTTATTAGATAAATACATCTTTCTCCTCTATCATAATACAGACATATAGATATATATCTCTTGATAAAAACTTTATTCAAATAATAATAATAAATAAAAACTTGTTACTTAATTCTTTAAATGTTCTGCCAGTCTACTATCGTCGTTAAATTATACTTCAATACTTAATATTGTCTTACATAGACTTTTGATAAATTTATAAACATTTTAAATTAGTTTAATGAAAAAAGTAATAAAAAATCTTTGTTACTTACTGTACTTACCAGGTGGACGATGATCCCAATCGTGCTGGATTGGAGGTGGGCCTCGAGGATCTGGCGGCGGACCTCGAGGACCCACGACTGGTGGAGGACCTCTAGGCGGTGGCTATTTTGAATAAATAAGTATATTTATTAATATATGATAATTAAACTTTATTTTCTTTAATATAATTATAATTTCTAAATCTAGGTATAATCCTGCTATAGTGATCATTATATTATACTAGTAGCCCAGGATGCCCCTAGTGGACGTTCTAGCAGCAGTGGCGTCATTCCATGGTATAAATAATAAATTCTATTACAAATAAAAATAATAATATACACTGTTAATAAATAAATCATACTGTTAATTTAATAGCTTTTTTTAAAATTTTATGTTCCATTCAGATGCTTGAAGACAGTTAATTAGCCAAACATATTTACATCTTGATTTTGTTTATTATTTCAATTAAGCAGTTAGTTTATAATCATCGCATAAAAAAAGAAGTAATTATAAATAATTACAATAATAATGTTTTTAATAATAAAAGTTCTCTTACCATTCGCATGCTACCAGGTGGAGGTCCACCAGGTCTCGGTGGTGGTGGCCCCTGAATACCAGGAGGAGGCAAATGTCCGCTCGGCGTGCCTGGAGGCGGAGGGCCCGGATGTGGCGGCGGCGGTCCTTGCATTTGTGGGGGCGGTGGAGCTGTAACGTATGTAAAGTACTTTAAAGCAAAAAAGGTACATTCTGATACACAATAAAATATACTGTACTATACATCGACAAAGTATAAAACAAATAACTTAATAACTATAAAAAAAATATGTTAATCTTATAAGAACAGTCTAATGCTACACATTGTTGCATAATTTTCAATCATCACTTTACTATAGAGAACACTGTTATGTATATTATAGAGAAAAGTTGATAGAGTTATGTTATTCCTTGTAAAGAAAGATGTGTAAACAAAAAATCTGTACAAAGTCAAATTTCTTTATTTTTACACTACAGTTATCCAAAATTTAACAAAATTAGTTTCGTTTGTAGAATTTCGCCGGATGATAATTTATTTTTTAATCAAAAAAGACACAGTCTGCTCAAAATTTCTTTTTGAAACCACCATTTCTTCTGATCATGTGTTCCAGAACACCATCGACGACCGGACCTTTCTTTGTAGGCTACTAGGTCATCTGGCTAAAACATTCCTTTAAAAACACACAAAAAAATCCAATTAAAACNTTATTTAACCAAAGAGTAATTTATATAATACAAAAAATAAACGTTTTGAAATACAAATTGATATGATTAGTAAGTTCTTCGTGATATCACAAGCACGAGGGATTGCTTCCCGTATATGTCACATGCTTTGAAAATATCTGTGCACTCGAGTGCTTTTTTGGTCTTTAGTCTAATAAGAGCTTTTATCTGCCTGAAGATGAACTTGCTAGCTTGAAGAGAAAACTCAGCATATGGGAATCACATGGCAACCATGTAGACAAAGCCAGTCTCACACAAGCATATCGTGCAATTTTTTGCATATTCCTTTGGGAATAAGAAACACGAGACAACTTGAGTAAACATTTAATGTATTACAAAATTAACATTTCAAATTCAACAAGTAATTTGCAAAACTTCAATCTAATTAACATATAATATCTGTACTTTAAACAGATTGAAAATATTTTTATTTTAATTTATATGATCAAAACAGTGGAAATATGAAGAAGAAAATTCAAATTGTCAAAATTTGAAGAGATTCTAATATTCTACTATCTGTGGCTAAATATCTGTTTTTATAAGAACATTTTTACACTGTAATCAAGCCTGACTTTTTTGATATTACTTTATTATTATTATTTATGGAAAAGCTGGCATTTCACTCTTCTATATATAATGCTATAATTAAATAATCTGATCTAACAGTTAACAGTAATTTTGATGACAAGTGCAATGTATAAGCTTCTACATTAATTTTCAGAAACATCCAAGGAATGGAATAGAAGATAATCTCCCGTAAAATGAAATCATAAAGCTACAGGTATTTTAATATAAATAATTAGTACAAATATAAATATGTAAGTGAATTATAAATATTTAAATATTTGTTTGGTCTTCTTCTTACCTGGAAAAAAATAAAAAAGGTCTATCAGTTGTTAGTCTATTTCTCCCCTTTGTCATTAAACAATTAGGAAAATAAATAATAATTTTGAATATCAAAGAAAATAATTCATAAACAGACAAGTCTACTGGCAATGAATATAATGATAAACCTTCTGTTGATGTAATCAAGTCCATGCATTTAAGAAAAATATATTGGCAAACTTTATAAAAGTAATAATGAAATAAATAAATTTTTTGACTAAAATACAGATTTCAACTTCTGTATTATCCAAAAAAAATCCCTCACATAACAAAAGACAATTCAGATCCAATATGAATAAGTTGATTATTAAAAAATGCTATAACCTCAGATTTCAGTATTTCAAAAAGGTTTCAACGACTAAAATTATATATTATCTGAATATTTACAACTTGTGGTCTTATTTGAAGATTTTAAAAATCAATTATTACTTTAAAAAATTAAAACAGGTTAAATTCTTTTTCTACTTACATTATATTAACATGGTCTTTTTGAAGATCATGTTAATGTAATTGATTTAATGTTTAGATAAAAAAAAAACAAGACTTTTATTTAATTAATAATGCAGATGATTATTATATATAGGCGAAATCTTACACTTACACTGCACGTAAATCTATGAAATTTCATTCCAATTTTAAATACATGACGATAATGAACAATTTTAGATTTATTAAACTTTTTGAAGACTGTTTTTATTTGATAACTACAGAAACAAAAATAATGACAAAAATAGAATAAAGATAAACGTAACATAACATTTCATTTGCTACAAAAAGTGAATCTCATATAATATTAATAACTGCTATTATATTTTTACAATGTAAATTTTGCTGTTAAAAATCTTACTTTTAAAAAATGTAAATTTTGAATAAAAAAAAGTTTGTATAAAATATTGCAAGTTAAACTATATAAAATTGACAAAATCTTAAAACTGACCTGAATGAGCCCAAAGCAGAGTATTAAAAAAGTAGACAATCCCTTAATAAATAATAATACAATACTACTAACCTTGACTTGGCTTACGTGACTGCATTTCAAAATGATTCAAATTCTGTCTACTGCATGGAGTAACAACTGGATTTTGTCCGTGAAGCTCCCTGAAATATACATTTATGTTTACTTTAACAAGAAAAACCTTATACACAATATAATTTAAATTTCAAATTAACTAATTAATTCTGTAATTCCAACTCTAATATTTTATAAAATAATGAAATTATTGAAATAGTTTAGTTAATTAGAATTTAAACTGCTAAATGAATATATGTATATAATGTTCATTTAACTAACTTTATTTATTTAAATACTAGCTGCAAGGACCCACTTCGCTNAGTATTAAAAAAGTAGACAATCCCTTAATAAATAATAATACAATACTACTAACCTTGACTTGGCTTACGTGACTGCATTTCAAAATGATTCAAATTCTGTCTACTGCATGGAGTAACAACTGGATTTTGTCCGTGAAGCTCCCTGAAATATACATTTATGTTTACTTTAACAAGAAAAACCTTATACACAATATAATTTAAATTTCAAATTAACTAATTAATTCTGTAATTCCAACTCTAATATTTTATAAAATAATGAAATTATTGAAATAGTTTAGTTAATTAGAATTTAAACTGCTAAATGAATATATGTATATAATGTTCATTTAACTAACTTTATTTATTTAAATACTAGCTGCAAGGACCCGCTTCGCTGGGTTTTTATTTGTATGTAATATAGTTTTTATATATATATATATATATAGATTATTATTAATAGTTTTAATTTACATTAACATATATCAGGGACCATGCTGCCCAGTGCCAAAATTGCCATTTGGCAATATTTTTATTAAAGTGGCAATAAAAATATAATAGTGGTGATAGCAGATGGTAATAAAAATCATAATCTGCTTGTTTCAACATTCCGCATGAAATTGAATCACAAATCACACTTCAGAAAAAGCAGCAGAAAGTCTAGCTTCCATGTGATAGGAGTCCCATGCCCCACACATCTGGAGATTCTGTAAAGTCGTTCGGCAAGTTCTGGCAGAAGAGCAGGAAGTGACATTGAGAACCAAAGGCAGTTTTGTGCAATGCTGCCCAGTGTTTGCAGACTGGGGGTTTTTTATCAACCAACATAAAATTTGGGGAATTTTTTGGGGTGACATTTTTCACTTTGATCTTGTTTTCAGTAGATTAAAACAAAAGTTTTAACATCACAGAATCTGTGAGATACTGTTTAAACATTGTGATCAGACGGCTGGATGGCCGAGTGGTCAAGGTAGCAGCCTACCACTCTGAGGGACCAGGGATTGAATCCGGACAGATAAAAAAATACTCAGGAATTTTTCAGGGTGGTCTGTTCGGATATGTTGGGCTCCATCCCTCACCACCCAGACACCCCATTGTAGGCCTGGCCAAACCCATAATGGGAATGCAAAAAACCGGCCCTCTTAGTGCCCACAGGGTGGAGAGAGTTAAAAAAAAAAACATTGTGACCAAATGTATTATTTGGAATTATTCATTAAAAAATTACTCAAAAATGATTCTTATTGCTAGCAAGCAGAGGACCAGATTTTTGGGTCTCAGATTCAAACGAAAGTTGGTGAGTATGTAGACTTAAACACAAACATCTCCTTGTCCAAATAATAGAACCCACTTCTCAAGCATTTCCCAAAAATGTACCTCTGAAAATTTAGTGTTTATTTTAGAGACATGAAATTTTCAAAGACTTGTGAGAGGCAATAGCCAAGTGGGTTTAGCAAAAGCATACATATAATCAGACACCCGAAATATATTAGTATCTTCAGTGGCAATAACTGACAGATCAAAGTCCCCAGCAATCCTACAGGAAGTAATCCAGTGTTAGTGTGTGCTAAAAGAGCATCTATCTGATGACAAGATACTGTCATCAGAACTCAACAAATTATATGACAAACTGGTAAGATATCTGCATTCCAAAATAGGATAGCAACAATCTACTACCCAAACAAGAACACGATCAAAACCATTTCAAAACTAAAAGCAAGCAACAATGCCAAAACAATCTTCTGAAGGATCCATAACAACTAACTGCATACAAATGCTTGGAAAAAACAAATGATTAATTTCCACAGATAACCATCCCATATGCAAAAAACCACAGAATCTCTAGAGCATGCCTTCTTCCAATACACCCGTATAAAAAAGATATGGGAATTCTTGGAAAAATTCACGAATATCAAAAAACCAACAAACTTTATTCTTTACTGCACAACTGAGTGCATAGGTAGACACTGGGCACCTTTAACATCACTCTTTATTCAGAAATATCTTACACACCAATATGCATATTGTTGTGCAAGACATTCCACACACCAAAACATGTAAAGAAACTCCAATGGTTTCATAATATGCAAAATAAACAATTAAATTATGCTATCCTAATAACAACATTGAAAGCAATTCAGAAAACTAGAAACACTGCATATTTCCACAATATCAACAAAACAACTGCAAAATTCAAGTACCATCTACAGCAACCACTAGAAAGCATAAACAAAAGTAACCTGAATCAAAGAAGTAAAATTGCTGAAAAAGGAGGAAAAACAGGAATTCTACAGGTCTCCAAAAACACACTCTAATAATCCTACAAACTGTAAAAGACTGATTGTTGGAATGCACCTAACTCAACTGTACAGTATATTTTTCTCTTTAATTCAATAAAACAAAAATTGTAATGCTGTTTAGAAATGTATGTAGTCATTTGCACTCTTTGAATCAATCTTTCGAAAGAAACATGAAATTCTCCACTTATAAGTGGATACACGTGTTTTTATTGTGTACTAAAAAATAAATCTCTAATCTTCTTTTTGGAAAAAGTTAATATTGCAACACTACCCTCAAAGAAATTACAACTAATTAATTCACTTTTACTCGAGGAACTATCCAATCATGTCATGTTGGGTCACCATCTTTCGAAAGCACTTCATTGGTCAAAATGACCATGGGGAGGAAAAGATAAATGAGAAAGTGCATTTCCCCCACACTTGTCGCAATGAGCATGTCTTGTAAATGATTTAACTCCATCATATTTAACACTAAATGAGGTTTGGCAAATGAGTCAAACAAACATCATCATCACAAGTTAACAAATTTTTGAATTCATTCACTCAAGCCACAAATATCTAGACTGACTCATCTTAAAAATATAAATTTTTAAAACTCAAAATGGCATTAAACAGTGTGAACAAGTATTTTTACTCAGAATCACACAAGTCTCATTTGAAAATTTAATGTATTACAGCACAGCTGTGAATCATCATAAAACCTTTCATAATTATAACAAGAATGCCATTTTATCATTATAAGTAAACATACAAAATACAGTAGAGAGTCAATTATCCGAATGTCAATAAGCCAAAAGTGTTCCAGCTGGACTGTGTCATGCTGAATCGAACATTTTTGATACTAGATTAACTTCTAGTATAATTTTTTCATTTTATATTTTTGAATAAATTTATTTTGTTTGTACAAAATAAAGAAATAATTTTTAACGATACAATAGCCATAGTTATTATTATAAAAATTTTTGTTAGGCTTAACATCGACAAAAATTCAATGCGAAGTGACATGCAATGGAGAAAAATTTAAACACGGAATATATTAATATACTATTATTGGGATATAATAATATACTATATTAATAATGCATTTTTTCATACACAATCGGTTATCCGAAAAACCCCAGTTCCCAATTGATTCGTATAATTGATGCTCTACTGCATTAAAAACAATTTTAAATAATATTGTTTCAATTAAAATATAATTTTGTTTACATTTTAAACTGTTTTGCTGACCATAGGCCTCAATTTGAAACTCAATAGTCTGATAGTTCAATGCTTATAATTAAAATTTTTTAAAAGCAGGCAAATTTATGAAACAAAAATTAATGAATTTACTAAAAAATTAAAATAAATTTGATCATCTTTTGGGCAAAACAACACAAACAATTTCTATTCCTTGAGAAAAGGAATAGAAATTGTTTTTAATTAAATACCTTTAAAAATAAGGATACTGAAAAAAGTCAATGACTTTTTCTAGTATCCTTGTGAGTCATTGACAATTTCTATAGTCATGTCATAAAAGAAAGAGAGTAGCAATTAATTTTAAAAATTTGTAATTAAGGATTCAAAAAATGTAGGCAAAATTAAATAAATAAAAATTATTAAAAATAATAATTAAATTTCAAGTCAAAAACTGTAAGGCCGTTTTTCTATTAGAAGTGTTTACTTTGAGTCATAAGCAATTTTTAAAATGTGATGTCACTTCCTGTTTAACAAAATGCAAACTGATGTAATTATGAACAAATATTTTCATACATGTTAATTTGATATTTGTTACTTATTATCTGCAATTTTAACTCTTTTACGTCTTTATTTAAAGACTTTTATTTCTTCACATTTATTTTCACATACAGTGGTACCTTGACTTACAAGTTTAATTCGTTCCGTGATGGAACTCTTAACTCTTACATCAAATCAATTTTCTCCATTGGAATATCATTAATTTCATTCCGGACACCCCAGAGCATCACAATTCTTTTCTTACATGTTTTTAAATAAGAAAAATGTGCTTATAAATAACAAATATTGTATAAAAACACAATAGATTATACTGCAATAAACTGGTTTTGTGGATGTTGTGGCATTCACTGCATAGATAAAGAAAGAAAAAAAGGATGAAAAGTTCAAAAAATGAGAGAGAGTGGTGCCATACACAACATGGAAATGAACTAATGCCTATGTCACTTGATCACGTGTTTTTCTATAAGCTAGCCTCTATAGTTTATTGTAACGTTTGCTGCACCAACTAGCAATGGGGTATCTGAAGCTGGCTCATAACCTGAATTTTTGCTCTCAATTCAAAGCAAAAAATCAGCCAAGAGACAGCTCAAATCTTGAAAAACTCATAAGTTGGGACACTCTTAAGTCAAGATAACACTGTATTTTACATACTATGTCCTCACAAGTGAATAAGCTTCAGACGTTACTGCCCACGGAAAAAAAGACAAGTGATATGAAAATAGGGTAGCATAGTCACAGCATTTTAGTTTTTTAATTATTATTATTATTATGGACAATTTCCTCATGCACTCCTGTTTGTTACATTTCAAATACCATAATATCACAATGTCTTAAAATAAATATGAAGAAATAAAAAGTTTATTTAACAATGTAAGAGAGAATCTACAGAAACTTGTTTTTACGAAACAGGAAATGATATAAAACAAAAAACTAAAAATTTTGACAAGCTTTAAACATGAGGAATAATAATAGTAATAATAATGCTAATGATATGGTAAAATAAAATAATAATGTTACACACATACACACAAAAAAAACTAAACTAGACTAAAATTTTGAAAGTTTGAACCTACATCGTCTATCTCCAGTGACTTGTGTCTTATCCACTTGAATATCATTGCTCAAAGACATGAAACTTTCAAATACTTATAAGTTAAACACTAAATTTTCATAGGCCCATTTTTTGGAAATGCGTGACAACTGAGTCCTATTATTTGGACAAGGAGCTATTTGTGTTTAAGTGTGAAGCTGGGACCACACATCCCCCGGACAGAAACTGGCTGTCGAACTAAAGTCAATATATCGGTGACTTATTACATAAATAGGACTGGTGTGACCAAGGAACAGGGTGCGAGATGATATAATTGTCACATTCCAAACCTAATTGACAGATCCGCGATCATCAATTGTGAGAATGAGAGAGGGATCGTCCGCCAGGGTAACTTTGGACGGTCACCTTACAGAGTTCAAAGCAGGACCTGCTGACACTCCTGTAGAGGGGGCAGCGGCTGGGACAGCTACGTCTTCTCTAGGACAGTAAAATAGACATTAGGTGAAATTTACGGGTCCATCATCTGGGAAAGGGCTTGACCCAACTCCGGAAGGGAACGGCCCAGACGGGGATGTTCAGTGACCCCGTGGCCCGAATCATGTCCCTGGCAACTGACCAGGGACCAATAGAATCGAAGGGAACCAGCATTCAGACCAACCAAAATCTCGAGATTTCGGGAAGAAAAAGGTTATAAAAGCCCGAAATCCCAAGAACACGGCAGGTTGTGAGTGGAAGATCGGGAGCAAGTTAGTCTGTTCCTGAGATTCTAACCAGGATTACAGAGGAGAAGACTCGAACGAGTGTGGCAAGAGTGAGGAACTTAACTTTCCAAGCACACTTCTCTATCCGGACCAGTGTGAATAGAGACCTAACTTCCAGGCGTGGATCTCTACTCTCCCAGCCTCCAGAAACATCTTAGATTAGAGACTAACTTTCTCCTGTTTGTGAATCAGCTTATCCTTGGAGACGAACTCTTTCGTTTGGGAAAGAAACACCCATCTGGACGGACTATTGTAAGCATGTTTTTATCTAAATAAACATGTTAAATTTGTAAATACAATCTCTGTGTGAGTTTCTCTGCATCCTGCAAACCACTACCCCCATACAGAAAGGACTTTCTCGTGTCATCCTGACGATATTCGCGGGCAAAGCAAGTGTGTTTACCTTTAACTGAAAGGTCAACACCTCCCCACACTGGTGTCATGCCTCCTCCCCACATAAGGCTACATGTTCATCAGATTTCATTTGAATCAAAGAACCTAACATCAAACTGATAAGACTACTAGAACCTGCATTAATTAATAAGTAAAATGGTTGGTGACATTTTTAAATTTTCCAGAGCAACCATATATATATATATATAATTGATAAATTAAATTAATCATAACTTTTCACTAATCATCTGCCAATAAATTGCAAGCAATCATATAGTCAATTTATCTTCAACGTTTATTGAAAATTTAACAGTAGTTTGGATAGTGAATGAGAAATTTACTTATATTTGAACTAAATGTAAATGAAATAGGATAATCAATTTTATTGCTTTCGATTGCTTTAAATTGCCAATATATTCAACTTTTTTGAAATTTTATGAATTTTTAAAGTATTTTTTTTAAACATATTTCAATTTCTTAATCAATTTTCAACAACTTTTCCATTCAGAAAATATGATAATTTGCTTTCTTATCCTCTTTTACCTCATCTATTTTTAATATTTAACAGTTAACAAAAAATTCTACTGATAAACATTTAGATTTCATTCATCTATATATAAATCAATTCAAGATATTTATGCAGATTCAACTATTCATATCACCATCTATATCATTAATCATATTAAAAATTCCAATAGAATTATTAGAGTATCATTATTAAATTCTGAAAAAACTTTTTAACCACTACTGTAGTTATTTAAATTAGTCAAACATCAATAAATGTTAGAAAATTTTATATGTAACTACAAATGGAACTGCTCTATTGTTATAAAGAAACTGTAATTACTTTTCTAAACACTACATATCCTAATAATAAAAATAGAATTCAAGATGTATTTACCTATCTACCTAGATCAATTATATTATGGAATAAAGTTTTATGCCATTTGTTGCTATCTATTGTCATTTGATCATTTGTTAATTTAAAATGATACACCAATCCATATTTTATTTAATTATTCTTTGTAAAATAGTTAAAAAGAATTGTTAATAGTTAATTTTCAAAAAATAATTAATTTTACTTACTTCTTTGGTAATTTCTCCATTACAAGCCGAAATGAATTATCTGAACCAAGAGTAACAACACAAAACCTGAAATTATTAATAATTTCATAAATACTCAAAGTATCTTATTAAAATACATAACTAAAAAATTACATTCATAATAATACAACATTAACACAACCATTATTATTATTATGCTAAATTGGCCTTATCCACTCACTCATTGGAAACTGCTTCTACAAAGACTTCTTGTAGAAAAACAAAATGGTGTGAACAAATGAAGGTAAATAAAGAAAATTACTAGAAAAATCAAACACAGACATATTCCAGTATCTGAATTCCCTATATCCAGATTCTTACTACAACAAATAATATTCTGAAACTCATCATGCTATTTAATCAAATAATCCAGGTATTAAAAATGAAATACATTTATGAAAAACTTGAAAGTTACACTAGTAGAAATGAGAAGTTGGAAGTGACCCTGCTCCCAGTATCTACTTTCAATTGTTTTGGTGGCATTGTATCAGTGTTATATCATGATTGTGCATTTAGTAATTTTAATCATAAAATTTCATTATAATCTTAAAAGTTTATACTGAATAGTTCATTACAGTAGGCTCACAACTTCACTTGTTTATTTCATGTATAAAATGCTTAATATTATTACAAAATTTTTACCAAGGTCTACTGCAGATTAAAGAAAATGCAGTTCAAATAAAATTTCTAATAGTACTGTAAGGAATTGAGCCTGAGCTGTATTATTGTTTTATTTATTTTCTTTAATTCTATTCTACTTTGGGGTTTATGTTTAGTTAGGGCAAAAGTTCCCCACTCACCCCTCAGTAACAAAAACAAAAAAAAAATTGTTAGATATATAAATAGGTAAATGAGGAGGAATGGTTCCCGAAGTAATTGTGACGTCACCTCAAAGCATAAAATGAGCGAGACCTGAGATGATGATCGAGGTGAACTCCAGGCAGAGAGAGATTGAAGTGAGCTCCAGAGTGAGAGCAAAGGATGAGGTCCTGAGTGCAGCTATTGCTCTCAAGAGATTCCTAGTATTGAGGTGACAAATAAGGAATGTAGTTTTTTAAGATTCGTTGTACCTAGTCATAAGTTGGGTGACATTGTTGAGTCCTGGGGGGGTAGTTGATAAATATTATTTGATAAATTACCCTATGTTGTGTCGATTCTTGAGAAGTGTTTTTTTGAATAAATCGTTTTTTTGGTCTTACTAATTTGTACATAGTTGAGAGTTGATATTAAAACATATTTATTCTTTACTGATCTTTGTACATAGTTACTTTACAGAGAATGTGAAAGTCCAGGCCTGGCATCCTAACCACGAACCCGCATAAAGTACCTGTTAGGTTAATGGTCATGAGTTTCGAGCAATAGTTTCAAAAACAATATTGGTGTTCTTTTATTCAGTACTTTACAACACTACTAAACAAATTTATTTGTTACATTACAGCTTACAAACATAGCCTTTAATAACTTCATTAAGGGCTTATTAGTATGGGAACTAGAGTTTATAATGTTTAAAATCATGCTAAAAACAGATTGTAAGTAAACAGGTGTTTTGTAAACAAGTTGAACAGGTGTCTCAGTTCATTTGAAAAAAGGTTTTCAAATGGTCTGAGAATTAATTAAAATTTTTTCCATAAAACATTATAGAAAATATTCCCAATATCGGAACGAGGGTGAATTCTCTTAAAAAATTATCTGTACTCTGGCTGTAAAATTTGTCTTTTCTGAAAGTTGATTGAAATAGATCACTTTTTGATATATCATCCAGCTTTTCACTTTGTCCATTTGTCAACAAGTTTTCATATTCCTTCATTAAAAAATGCTTTTGGCTGAACTGCAAGCCAGAAATGCACAGTCTTCACCTCTTCATCAGACACAAATCTCTCATCCTCTTAGGACTTCTTTTAGTAAACCAGACAGCTGATAATCTGATGGTGCAGATAAAAACTACAGGGAAAATGCTCCAATGTCTCAAAATGAAGGTTTTGGAGTGTCAACAGTGTGAGCAGCAGTGAGCAGAAGTGCATTGTAGTGCAAGAACACAATGTTGAGATGTTCAAGCATCCTCCCTACATTCCTGATCTTGCCCCATCCAACTATCACCTGTGTGTTCCCTTAACAGAAGCTGTATAAGGACAGAGATTCATGTCTTATGAAAAGGTAAAGACAGTGATGCATTTGTGGTTTGCAGCTCAACCAAATATTTTTAATGAGGAAATACAAAAGCTCATTGACAGATGGACAAAGCATATTGTAACAGTGGGCAATTATGTATGTTAAAAAATTCTACAGCCAAAAAACAAATAATTTTAGACTCACCCCCATATTTCCAGAAACAATTATTTTTAGATAGTGGGATATGACTATTTTATATACTACAACATGAGTTCTGTGAGGTGTCAAGAAATACCACAGCAACTAAGCAGTCAATTAATCATTACATGCCTATTTTTAACAGGGCTGTTGAGTCGCGTAAAAATCTACCGACTCCAACTCCGACTCTTCCTTACCATCAGACTCCAATTCGGGGCAGACTTGTTACCGAAAGAGACCCGGAAATTCTGATGTCATCACGTGACCTCAGAATAAAATATTCAATAAACAGAGTTGTAATAAAGATAGAGCATAGAAACTTCCAAAAGCTAAAAGACTTCTCTAAGTAATATATAAATATGTATTTGATAATTTTTACTTTTCCGGCTGTTATATATAACAGAAGAAAAGTGTAGCACTCGGTCAAAAATGACCCCTCCCAAATTTTTACATTTTTGGACTCAAGACACCTTGAAATTTCAAGATATGCAAAAGATTCGAAGTTTTTTCTATATGTGTGGATGTTAGACTGTGTGTGTGGGGGGACATGATTTCGTTTACCCTGTTTGAAGCCTAATAATTTCTGTGGTCAGAGTGGTCAGAATCTGAGTCAGATGGTTTAACACAGGAGTTAGTTATTTAAGTCAAAGTGGTTGAACTAAATCGTGTCCCCATATACATTCTAACATCTTAAGAGAGAACATCTTAACGGGTTTTACTGTACCATTATAAAATGACAAAAAAGCTTACTTTGCGGATAAAGACGAGTTTTATTTTATTTTTTTAAATTTTGAACACTAATAACAGTAAAATATTTATTAAGAGATACAACACATGACCGCTTTTATGTCTTCACCCTGTGGACCTTTAATTAAGAACCAAAATTTAATAGTATTAATGCCCCTTTATACGCAAGCTACAGTGCCACATTTCGTTCCTTAAACTTTACCCGTTCTAAGATATTGTTTAATATCTCAGAACAGAAAGTAAAGAAATTAAACAAATTAGACGCCAACACACATGCGTGTGCGAATTTTTCTCCTTTATTGACTTTTTTGAGGGGTTCGGGAGGTCTCCAAATGTGTAATTTGAAAAAAAAAACTTGGAGGGTCAAATTTGACACGATTCCAATACTTTTCCGCTTTATATACATAACAAGTTGGTAAGTAAAAAGGAGTCGGAGTTGGCGAATTTTTTGACGACTCTGACTCCGGCTAAAACATCAAAACTCCACGACTCCGACTCCACAGCCCTGATTTTTAAAATGTTTTAATTATTAATTTGTTCACATTATTTAATTTTAATTAAACTCTCTTGTATTACTATTGATTAGACTTTTAAATTTTTTTTACTACTTACAGTTATCTAATATAGTTTATCAAAAATTGTAAAATGCAACACAGGAGTAAAGTGTTGAAAAGTGATATAAAAAACTAAGTTTATACTGCCAAAGCCAATTAAAGGGATACCTTTTAGCATCTGTATATCATTGTGTATAACAACAAGTAATTAATTATGTATGTTAGCACTTACATAGTTTAAATTTTAGTTCATTCAAATTACAAATATATAAACCATCAGTAAGATATCAACTAAGTGTAAAGCATTCAAGCATTAATGAAATTAATACAATATCACAGAACAAATACAAAATAAATTTTAAAAGTAAAATTTGTAATACATTAAGAAAATTTTATATTGATATATTATTAAAAACGAAATAACTATCCAAAAATAGAACAATTTAAATAGTTTTAATTAAATCAAATTAGAAACACATCATTATATAACTTAATTCCTATACTTCAACATGAAAAATGATATCACTAAGAATGTTTGTTATGATTTCCCACCCTGTAAATAATCATAAAAATAATTGTATTTTATATTTAACTCTACTGCTATAAATGTTATTTGAAATACAGTAATACCCCAAACTTACGCGATAGGTGGGACCAAGCGATAACAGCATAAGTCGGGGTATAATTTCGCAATTTGTGTAAAATCCAAGTCGGATGTATGTAAGATAATAAATGCTCTCGTTAATCTTATCTCGTCTTTTGATTCATTCACAGTTACAAGAAATCACCACATACAGTCTCTCAAGTCTCCGTACATATAACAAACACAGAAATAAATAACACAAAATAAATTGTGGTGTAAGGAACCAAGTCCGAACGTTATTTTTATTTACTTTTATTTTGCTTATTATTCTATTTTTGTTTGGGGCTTATGTTTTGTTAGGACGAAGGTTTCATCACCATTCACCTTAGTAACTTAAAAATAGAAGAAAAACCAACTCACCGACGAAAGAAAAGCGCTGTAGTTAAAAATTGCGCACACTTGCGCTCCCGAGTGGAAAAAAGTAAGTCCGCACCGAAAAAAAGGGGGGGAAGACCCCACAACCCAGTTAGGAATCGCTAAACCTTAAAAGAATAAAGCATCCCGATAATTGTTAAAAAGAATAATGTAAAAGGTTAGCGAAGTATTGTCGGAAAATAATCTGCCAGATAAACAAGAAAAATTTAATGTTACAGATAAGTATGTAAATGAGGAGAGTGAGCTCATTCAGAATTGTGACGTCACCTCACACTATAAAGCCTCTAACTCAAGTGAAAACGAACGAGGTGAATTCCTGATAGCAACGAGCTTATAGCAGTGAACAAGAGAGAGGTGTCCGATAGGATTTTGAAGTTATTCGATTTGTGGATCGACGATTATAGAAAGTCTTGAGAGTTTGAGGAAATAGGTTCCTAGTATATTGAGGTGACGATTAGGATCTTTAATTTATAAGAATTATTGTTTATAAGTTAATTCTTTGATTTTGTCGAATTCCAAAGGGGAATAGAATTAAGTTAGAAATAGATTGATTTGAGTTTGTCGGGTTGATTCTTGTTGAATTTCATTGAATAAATTATTGTTTGATTTTTACTAAATACTGTATGTAGTTTATTACTAGAAGTTTAATTAAATATTTGATTTTTGTTATTGACAAACTTTGTCATTATTTAATTCGGTGCACGCTTAAAGTCCAGGCCTGGCACACTAATGCAAATCCGCGTAAAGTACCCGTTAGGGAACGGCTATTTCCGGCACGCAGTAGTGTCGATAATCGTTGGAAAAGTCGGAAAAATAATATAGTACTTTACAGTAGCTATGTGTCGATTCCACTCAACATGTCCGAACACGTAAGCTGAACAATAGTGTAGGGGGAGTGAGTAATCAAGAGTTGCGTGGCGCTCAAACAAAAGACGAATCGACGAGATTTGAAAATCGCGTAACTCTGGGTTCGCGTAAGTCGAGGTATTACTGTACTTCAAAAGTGATTTTTATTCATTTTTTCATTGAAATATTCAAATATTAAACTCTTTAAAATTTATCTAGCTTCTAAATTTATTTAATAAAATATTTACCCTTTTGATTGTCCATTTGCTCTATTTTCATAAAATTTAATATCTAAAACATCAGTTACATTAACACTGTTAATGGCGTCAATAACATCCTGATCAGTAGTCCACTATATAAAAAAAATAAAGAAAAAAATTAATGAACTAGAATATAAAATAAGGTTCATTAAAAATACCTTATTAATTAATAGAAGATATTTATTTAATAATGAAGGTTCAGTATAGTTCAAAAGTTTTACAGAGGCAGAAGATAATAAATATAAAAAAAAATCAATTAGATCTACAGATTTATGTCCTAAGCCACTTAAAAAGAAATTTTTTGAAAATTACGAGTAAATAATTTCTATTTTTCAAAATTTATACATTACGTTGTTTAGTTGTCTTAATAAATGTCCCAAACACAAGACTAGATGTCTTGTGTTTGGAACATTTGTTAAGACAACTAAACTTCTAATAAAATGTTAATGTCATGAAAATTTTTATTATGTTCCTAACATCCAGCATGAATTATGACTAATTTTTTTTGTTGTTGTAATTTTTAAATTTCAAATGAATTTTTAATAATTTTCTCCTGTTGGAGTTTCTAAGTTTGAAGTTATCATCATCATCATTATTATTTCAAAAATAATTATAAATAAACAGAAATTCTTAGAGAACATTAACCATTCTAATTACAAATTTATAAAAAAGTGTTTCTTTCATGAGATCAAAATATGTTTTATAATAATGCCGAGTGCTTTAGGGGGACACTTATTCCTTTATCTTTAAAATTACTACCTAATAAGAACAAAACATATATTAACTGATTTAAATTGACAGTTGGCTGGCCAAATGGTTAAGGTAAAAGCCTACTGCTCTGGGAGACCCAGGATTGACTCCAGAGGAGTAGAAAAACTTCAGGAATTTTTTTGCAAGTGATTTGTCCATATAGGTTGGGCTCCATCTCTCACCAGTCAGTCACCCCATTGTGGGCCTGGCCAAACCCATCGTGGGCTTGCTAAAGCCCACGATGGGTTTGATGGGCTCTTTTAGTGCTCACAGAGCAGAGTTAAAAAAAAAAAAAACCATAATTTAAATTTATAAAGTTGTTATAAGCACATTTTCATATTTCATTAAGCAAACTTCTGTCAAAATAATCTAAACAATAAATGGAAATTNTAATCTATAAATAATTTAAAATCAAATAAAATTATTAATATTATGTATTTTATCTAGAGCATGTTTTGTGCTTACTAACAATGTATTTCTCAATGGTTCTGACAGTATTAAATACCATAATATCAATGATCAGATTGATTCCCTCTGAGAAAGGAGTCTGCCTATGTTTTTCAATGTAATCATTAATTTAACTTTCTCAGATGAAAAAATAATCTAAGACAAATTTTTAAAATTAACTCTAATGTGTCAATCACAGCTGAATTGTTAATTGATCAGCCAATCAGATTATGCAACAAATGGACCAAAGATTCAAACTCTACAACCTCAAAAATATTTAAGTACATATTTTTGTGCTTGTTCATACTATTTATTTGGTAGTTCTACTTTATAAATGCTGTAATCTCACTCAGATGAATATGGAGACTATTGCAAGTTTATTTCCTAAAAAGTTGTTGTTGATCTCTTGATGAGAAGAGGTTCCATAAAAACTTTCATTGCATTTGATTAAACTGTGTCAAACTGTATAAACAAAATTCTACTTTACATGTAAGATTTCTTAATAAATTACAAAATTATATAGTTTAGTATGTTTTCAAAATTAAATAATAAAGCTAATAGTTTTACATATTATTAGGAAAAACTAGTCATAGTTTGATAGGATTTAATTATATGACTTTGGTATGTTTCTTGTAATACAGTAATTTAAAAAAAAATAACATGTTTTAAGTAAAAAGTTTACAAGAAGTAACTCCAAATATTGTATTAAAATCAAATTTTCTTTTTGAAGGAAAAAATTAAGTAAACAATTTAAAAATTTGAAATAAACTCTGCTAAAGTTATGACTCTTCTTAAACTAACAAATTGTTTTAAACTTTTAAATAATAATAATTGAAAAGTAAATGGAGATTATATTCCATATAACATTGTTCCCTAAATAATCTGATGGCTGTAGTTTCCCCATTCAGTAATCATACTGATGACATCCTCAGTACAGGTATCCAATCAACATACAGTAGCATCTAATTATAATAAACTTCATAACAACAAACTTTTAGATTTTTCCCAACCTAACTTCCACAGGAATCTATGACAATATTTATGATGAACTTTCACTGTAACATTCCTTTTTTTATCAGTCTCGTGTTATCTATGTACAATTCCTACAATTTTCACTTCACTATAACAATTTCATTACAACTTCTTTCCTCTTCATTGCTGTTGTCTCCAAACTGATAAACAGTTGTATCCAAGGAAGAGAGGCAAGACTGGAAGTAACTAAGTTGAAGGTGCATTAACTTCAACAAGAGCCGCAAGTTGTCATAGACACAGGTGTATTCACAACAGTTTAATTTTATTATTTACCTTATTCTTCACTTAAGGTAAAGAAACAGAAAGAAATGCCTGGAGAAAAATTTTGTAAGGATCATTCTAGTATAGGAAACAAAAACACAGAAAGAATATGATTCAAAGGGTAAACTAAATTGACAACTTCAGAACTAAATTATTTTATTTACATGAAATAAATGTAAAAAAATGTAAGTAAAATATAATAGCTTTGTTTCACTGTAGACTTCATATTTAGCTATTTAACTTGCTTAATAATTTACAGTAGAGCGTCAATTATCCAAATCAATTGGGGACTGGGGTTGTTCGGAAGATCGATGTTTCAGATAACCAATTATGTACGAAAAAATATATTAATTTATCCCATCTTGACATTTTTCTCCGTTGCGTATCACTTTGCGTTGAATTTTCATCGATGTTAAGCCTAACGAAGACTATTGTATCGTTAAAAATTATTTTTAAATTTTGTACAAACAAAATAAATATATTGAAAAATATAAAAACAATAAAAAATTATACTTCAGAAGTTAATTTAGTATCAAAAACGTAAAATATTTGAGTAGCCCAAGACATAGCCAAAGATTGCAGCACCACAGCACTGGCAAAAATTTAAATTTGCCGACTGGAATTCTTTCGGATGATTGACTTTCAGATAATCGATGCTCTACTGTATATTTATTTTCCATTACTAAAATTCAAAATCAAAACTGGAACTGATAACTTGTAAAATCAAAACCATTCATACTTTTCCAGCAAATAGGTTAAATTAACATTTTCGGTTTATTTTATAAACCTGTCTCAGGTTTAAAACTACAAAATTTTGACAACATTTTTGAGAGTACCATCAAGTTTGACTTATGAAATTCTGCTGTAGTTCAATACACAAATACATCCTCTATCTTAAAAATCTTTAATTAAAAATAAAGCATATTTACATTATAATATCAAATAGTTATTACCTCTTCTGCTTGCTGACCATCACTGGATGGTGCTGTGATGACATCATCATATAAATCTACATTTGCATCGTGATTATAATCGCCATCCTAAAGGAAAAAATAATAATGTATTACTTGTCATATGAAAATAAAGAAAACTATTATTTAAAACATCAGATAAATTTCTTTATGCAAAAGATATAAAACTAATCTATAAATAATTTAAAATCAAATAAAATTATTAAAACAACAGAAGACAGCTTTAAAAAATTAATTAATATAATAGTTTGTTACAAAGATTACAAATATATAAAAGTTGATTTAAATTTTTTAAGTTAATACATTATTTTCTTTTCTTGAGTTGAAAGACTGCAGCTAACATTTATCTGATGATTTGCTAATGTGTCATCGTTATCACCACTTTATTTGTTACTGTCCAATACATTCTCTTCCACAAATAAATTTTGATTATTACCATCCACATTCTCCGTTATTTTTACATTGCCATCAACAATGCCTTTCTATGCTATATCTTCCCATTTTCATTCAATCAAAATAATGTCATTGTTGTCGTCTTCCCAAACTTTACTGTCTAGCTGAATGCCAGCTTTCTTGAAATAATTCTTGACAGGAAATGGAGAATCATCATATTTCTATGCCTTATGAATTTCAGATATGCAATCTCTGAACATAAATCTTTCAAATGCCAATCCTCTTCTAAAGCAATTAACGTTTTCATTAAAACGCACTTCCAATAATGAACTTTGTAATGTTCTTTTGTCCATTGATTGTAGTTTGACATCACATTTGCAAGGAAGAAAGTATGTTGTACATTTTGCAATTTAGTCTGACTTTTGATAAACTACAAATGGGCAGCCATGAAGGCTAGACTCTACAGGAAGCTAGTGTTAAGGGCCAAGCTTAATTTTTTATTGGAATGCCAATAATTTAATTACATACTCACACCCTATTGGTTGTTTGGAACTTAATTTATGACTCTGTTCTTTTATATTTCTTTTTATAATGTGTATCATAGTGTTATCTAACTTCAGCACAAATTTTTAAAAATTTGGCTTATCATACAAGATTTTTATTAAAATTGTAATCAATTTCTATAGTTTAATAACCAAGAAAGCAACTAAAATTTTTACTTTTATGTGAATTAGTAATTTTAACTTGTGTTCCATTCATATTTAAATCTATAGTTACAAGCACTTTATTGGGCTGTTATTTGAGAAAATTAAAGACTTGTAAATTCCCACTGTCATTTGTCTGTCCTTTCCAAGAGTTAGATAGATGAAAGCAAAGATCAGACATGGAAAGATCAGACATGGAAAGATTAGGGGTGGGAGGCTCCGATTAACTATATAAGAATTACCAATGCTTACCAGAAGTCACATTATTTCAATTCAAAAATTTTTTCCTTGAAAGCAGTTAGCAATAGGAGTCATGCCAGTCAATCTAACAGGAAAAGTATGATGTACAGGGGCAAGACTACTAACATGATGTGAAGGGCATATAATTTAAATTAATTAAAAATTGTAGCCCAGCATTGTGACAATGTCACAATAAATAATTGCTCATTATACTTTCCTTCAAAATATTTATTCATTTTAAATGTTAATGTTTCATCTAGTAAACACTTAAAAAACAAACCTGTTTCATCAATGTTAAAGATTTTCTGAAGTTCATATTCTTGCAGGATTTTTTTTTCAAGATTGTTTTGCATCAAGTTTTACAATCTTCTTCACTTACTTCAGCACTTTCATCCAATATAATTTTTTTGTGAAAATTCACATTTTCCCTTACATTACAGCTAACCAGAACTTGCTTGAAAAGTGTCATAACTAGACATTTTTTGAGATATTTGATCTGATTGCAAGATATATGATCTGACAAGATATATAAATCTGATTAGATCTATATATCAAAAATAAGTGTATGTGTGTGTATTACTTTATTATGTACTGTACAAGCTGTTTAAACTGGCAATATTGTTGATTTTTCATAATGAGAATGCCACCTGCTGATACAATAGTAGTGTTTTGTTTTGCAGACTCATGAGATCAGTGATATAGTTTTGTGTTGCTAACATTATTAAGAGACTTGTGTTAACGGTGACAAGGTATGTATATCAACAATATTTCTGAACCCAATTTATAGTTAATTCAAACCAAACACAAATATAATGTGTCCACGGGAAAGTATAATACTGCACTAGCCCAGTAAGCTACTGAACCTAGGGTTTTTCCTTGTTGGGATGAAGCTACTCTTTTAACACAAGACTTTTGACCGACACAACTTACATTCGTTGTAGGCTCTTGAGATTTATATAGCAGGCATGAAGGAAGGTTGTATTAACTCTGACTATATTCTGGTTCCACAATTGTGGAAGTATTATTTACAATGCCACAAAGCATAATGATAATTTTTTGTGTGTAATTATGCATTTATCTTTATACAATGTAAAGGAAACAATTCTCTTATTGATCATCATTTATATGTTAAAACNCGTGTGTGGGACCCTTAATTACACTTATATGAAAGTATCATTATACTTTCATATATATTTTAAATAAAAAGTGTATTTTCTTTTGCTTTCTGACATAAGAACAGTTCTTCTCAGAGCAATTTTATTAAATATACACAGCTGACCATTAAAATTGCAACATGAAGAACAAGAGCTATCAAAACCATGTGTATTATACAAATAATTTTATGAAACAAGTGAAATGATTGTGTATAAATTAAATAGCCTAATGATTACGACTATAATAAATTTAAGAGCTATCATATCGGGAGTGACTGGAACACAAATAGACTAAACTTTTTACAAAATAGCCTTTAATTATCTACAATCAAGTTTTATGATTGATTGTGGATAATTAAAGGCTATTTTGTGAACGTTTAATCTATTTGTGTTCCAGTCGTTCCCCTGATATCCCTAAATTTATTATAGCCATATTCATTAGGCTATTTAATTTATACTTAATTTTATGTTATGGGCTAGAAGCATTATTTAATAGTAATGAAATGAATATGCTATGCAGCTACCATGGGTAGTAATAAATCTACACGGCCTGGTCTAGAGAGGAATAGATGATGGATATGTCAGTCCATGCTATTTCAACATGTTGACAAAGTTTATCTGCTGTGGTCGTAATCCATAATCTCGTCGTGAGATCATGGACCGTGCGTGTTCAATAGTAAGAGATATGACAACTATTTGGACCAGGGAAGAAGTGGAACATTGTAATGGAGGAATTGTTGGACAAGGCATGCCAATATACAGTCACCTATTGTCCTGTTGGTAAGTGTTCCAGGCAGGCCCTGAACAATAGTCTCCAGCAGTTCAGAGATGTAACATTAGGTGCTAGCATGACTGGAATACAATGGCACCATATAAAGCTGGACTGGTAAGGTGATATATAAATGCAGCCCTCATTCATTCTTTTGCTGCAGTACTAGAAGACACAGATGCACACAAAGTGGTGCTGCAGACAGAATGGGATTCATCTGAGAATATCTTGCCATTTGTCTCTCCATAAGTGATGTCCTATGCACTGTTGCAGATGCTTGTGGTGTACAGTCAAAGTTAGACAATGGGTGCCTTGCAAAAATTACCTGTGCTGCAGATGACATCAAATTGTCAGTGTGTAGACTGGTGGTTGAGCAACATACCCTAATTCTTGAGTATGGTTTATAATGTGGCTGTACAATTCACAATAGCTGAATGGATAAGAAATCTGTCCTCTTATTTGGTGGTATGGCATATCCATTGGGATCTTTTATGTTTATTCATCCTTCCTTGATGTGCCAATTGTATATTCACATCACTGTGGCCACATGCTTTCCAACACAGGCACTAATTTCCTGGAAAGATAATCTGAAGTTCCAATATGCCACAATCCTCTAGTTATTGAAATCAGAAACCTGCTGGTATGACTGTTCTTGCTGTATTCTTTGATGAGGTATACTTTAACCATCTGTTCACAAGAACAGTAAGAAACAGTTCCAATGCTTAAAACTGGCTTTCTATTTTCCCTCTTACACTGCTTCCAACAGTTATTACTGGTGCACATAATTTGCAGTTGTGTTGCACTGCTAATCATTTATATGCCCTGCCATGATCTATACATCCTGCAAATTTTGAGACAATCAGATGTGAGACAATTCAGTTTTAATGGCCAGCAGTGTAATTTACAGAATCTCTTAAAATTATTATATAATGCACCATCATTTTGACAAAATGAGAGATTTTAGATCCAAAATGCATCAGTTACTTTTTTGTGTAAAGTGCATGTTAACTCTTATGTATACCCATATTTTAAGAGATTCTGTAAATTGTTATTTATTTTAGCAATTTCTTAATTGTAAACAACAATTTAAATACAATCTCACTAAATGGAGAATTTATTTCTTTAAAATCTTTTAAACTGAAAACAAGAATCTCATATTGCATTACCTTAAAAACAATTAAAATCTTATCTATTAAACCATTCTTGATTAATAGTTTGTATTCAGAAAATTCAATTAATGTGAAATGCATTTCAGATGTTCCAATTATCTTGATATTTCTCTTCAGTCCTACCAGTTACATTCATATCAGTCTCTCGCATACTATTTCTTCTCCATTGTAAGTTGAATTAACATGAAATAACACAAATGTCTGTTATAAAATACTTTTCCCATATGATGTTGAGATCTAAATACTTATTTAAATTTATCATAGTTACTATCTCTATGTGTTCTTTTATTTATAACATGATAAAAAGAAATATAAAATAACATATACAGATAGTAACTACGAAACATATGATAAATAATGATGGTTTAGATCTCAATGCTATCTGGCAAGAGTTTTAATGGACACTGAATTTGAGTTAACATGAAATAACACAAGATGGAGAAGAAATAATATGTGAGAGACTGATATGAAAGTAACTGGTAGGACCGAAGTGGAATTTCAAGATAATTGAGACATTTGAAATGCATTTCAAATTAATCAATTTTTCTGAATATGAACTATTAGTCAAGAATGGATTAATAGACAAGATTTCAAAGTGTTTTTATTATAACTAAAAATCACATGTGTTAAGATTTTAAAGAAATAAATTCTCCATATAGTGTGATTGCATTTAAACTATCTGTAAATTATTTTTAATAAAATTTCTTGTTTAGATAATTTATCATTTTGTTTTTATTAATTGTTTGGTTTTCTTAATTTCTTTTATATTTGTTTTGTAGAAAGAAGAAATAAAGTCTGCAATTCAATCTGTCACTGAAGTCAAAAGGAAAAGGACTTTATCTGATTCATCTGACATTTCATTTTTTGAAGAATATTATAAAGCTAAATTAGAAGCTTTGGAAAGAGAACATAATTCAAAACTGAATGCTATTAAAGCTGAACATGAATTAAAAGTTAAATTCTTAAAAGAAGAACATGAATTCAAACTTGGATATTTGAAATTGAAACAAGAATGTGAAGTTTTGAAAAAACTGAAACTTAATCATAATTGAGGTTAAAAAATACTTCAGATATACTTTTATTACTTTATATAGAAAAGTTTTAGATAATAAAATTTTGATCAAATGGAATTATTATTTATGTCTCAAATAATAATAGTTGATTTTAAATTTACATAATACATTGTAAGTATTAAAGTATAGAGAATCATTATAAAAACATTTCCAATTATGCTTAAAGCACATTATAAAAGAAAATTGAAAACTAAATTTTACAGAGATGAATTTTTCATTACTATAACATAACGTGTTTGTGTATAATATATACCTATTATATGCATATACACATACCAGTACATATATTATATGTAACAATCCATTCTAATGACATTTAATTTGACTAATTTACATTAGTCTTAACATATTATTGACTCATGATAAATTCGCTTTTTTTTTTTTTTTTTTTTTTACGTGCTTCTAATTTCGAGGAAGAGTTGCCAGTGTCTATAAATTCACTTTATTAGGTTTTTCAGAAACTCTGCTTATTTTCAATAGATGACTTCAGAATATATGTAAACATGCCAAAGTTATTGAAAGCATCCTTTTCAAAATATGTATTTAAATCATGACATCATCATGCATCTTCAGAAAATTAAATTTGTAATTAATTTATGTAAAATATACACGTATAAAATGGAAGATAAAGATGCATTTTAAACACTTTTTTTATTAAAAGGCAAAAATGCCACATATTCAACAAAAGAGAAATATAGTCAAACCTTGTTATTTGGCAGCAGTTTGAAAAAAATTGTAGACCCTATAAATTTCTAGTCTGTCCTTCCTTAATCTCCGGAAAGGAGATAGATAGATGAAAGACAAGATCAGATATGGAAACCTTATCCATTAACTATATATGCAAACAAGAAGTCACATTATTTCAATTTAAAAATTTTCCTCTGAAAGCAGTTAATAGGTGACCATGATTCCATTGCTAACAGAAAAGTTAGATGTACAGTACAGGGACAAGACACTACAAATTTGAGGTGGAGAGCAAAAATTTTAAGTTAAATTAAAAATTGCAACCGACAAGACATTGTGACGTTCTCACAATAAATAAATGTTAAATTAGAAGTTTATGCCAAGTAGCTTTTCAATCCTGTGGACAAGGATAGGCATTTCAATGTTAACAAGTTTGGTTAACATGTAATACAAAGCAGTAGCCTACAAGTAATCGTTTGTTTTGAGTTGTGCACTTCATTGGTATTATAGAAATTTGTAATAAGATACATAATGCGGTTATAATACAATATTAATTTTAATTAATTCAAAGTACATTTTAATCTCAAAATTGGCGTTTTCGCTTCCCATGACGAGGATCC